CACCTCCACTTCCTGCCCAGCACCTCCACTTCCTGCCCAGCACCTCTACTTCCTGCCTAACACCTCCACCCTGTAAACTACAGATCAGGTAAGATGGCTACCAGAAGGACATCGCATCTCTGTCAGAGCCCAGCTCCCCATCCCTGCCTTGGAACACAGGCATGATTTGGGATCAGGATCCGATTCTCTCTGGCTGCCTTTTGCACCCAGAGCATTGCTCGCAGGAGGCTCTGGCGAGCAGCAGGCAAAACTTGAGCAGACAAGGCTCGGCTAAGTCTCTGTGCCTCTTACATCCATCAGTGTGTGACCAACATCTCTAATTTTAACACCAATCACTTTGCCTCCAGTAAAGAAAATCAGCCCCTCAGGCTATGGGTATTGTTCTTCTTTCCATTACAGAACCTCCTCTGTTACTAATGAAAAATAATGGATTCAAATTATTCCATTATTCCAAAAGATGACCAGAGATTAGGAATGCATAACCAATGTTACATCTAAAATACCCAAAATGAATAGAAACATGTATGTACGCCTCAGTGTGTTTGTGTTCTGATCTGATGACCAGGAAGACAGAAGCATGAATTCATATGCACACTTCAAACTGCACCTGGGCATCACATTCAATAAGCCGTGACCACCTGTGACAGGGACAATTCTAACCTAAAGGGCACAACCATTCTCTTTAGCCACTATGTGTCCTCTGAAAAATACAAAGACAATAAGATTACAAAATTGCAACCATGATTTGAAGGCAGGAAAGTCACTCACCGGTGTGTACATAAATTGTGGAGGCGAAGTCCATACCTTTCTTCAGCAGAGAGCCCATCCATCAACAAGTAGAAAATCAGAAAATTGCTCTGGCCAGGAGGCTGCGATACGAGCCTGGACTTCTCTAGCATATAGGTGTAAATTCTGGCTGGTAAAGAAAAGCAACTGTTAGACGGCATTGTGGCTTCCCTCCCACGCATTTACACGGAAGAGAGAACAATGCAGTGGTATCCAACTCAGACTTTAAAAAAATCAATAGACTTTATTTTTCAAATACATAACAAATATTTTTACTCTGAGACACGGGGCACCTATTGTGAATTACAAGACCTACACACAATGAAAGTCACATCGCCTTTATCAATAAGTGCATTTATATGCTTTTGAAATGCAGGGATTTCATTTTCTTGAAAAGCTTTAGATTTCTGTAGGTTAAGCAGAAAGTACTGAGAGTTCCCAGCCATTGCTTTCTTCCTCCTCCAAACAATGACTTTCTCTTTTGTTAGTGCATTTGTGTGAACATGGCCTAGAAACGAGGAACCAGTGTGTACACACTCCTAGTAACCAAACCCATACACCCAGGGTTAGCGATAGAGCTCACTCTGTGTCGCACAGTCTGGGGACTTCAGGAGATGTGTAGGGAGGGGACACAGGTACTGCCGCCGCACCAGGCGTCACACTGCCAGGCTGGGTGTGTGCACACGGCCTCATGATGTGCAACCAGGCAGTGGCTGCAGATTGAGGTCTTTAAAATGTTCCTTTTTCTTCTTACATTTTTGGCTGAAAACATTTTCTGTTTAATGTTAATAATATTCACCCAGAAATTATACACTGTTCAGGAGAATATGTTTTAAATCCACACATGTGTGACACGAACTTCCACTGTTGACTGTCTTCCAGCAGAAAGCATCCAAGGGGCCAGGCAGGCTGCGAGGTCCCCGGGCTTCCACGTTTGGGGACAGGGACGACTTTGTCCACAGGACTGGCCATGCACAAGTTCCCTTCCAGCAGCGTGCAGGGCTAGCCTGACCCCAACTCACTTATGGAGCGACTCTGGTGCCTTTCCTCTGCATTCAAAAGCCGAACAGTGATTATTCATCTCAGCTCATCTCACACAGCAAGTGCAATGGCTGAGGATCAGCAGCATTCAGATCAGTGAGATGTCAGAAAAGGAAGTCTTGAAGGGGACTTAAGAAGCCAACTCAAACCAGCCCTGGACCCCTGCTGCTGCAGACACACAAGACCCGGCCCTTTCCTGTGAGTCTATGCAGCTTGTGGCAGCTCCAGGATGCCAAAGCCTCCACGGCTTCTGGGACAGGCCCATGTGGGCAAGTCCCACCGCTGGGTCCAGGCGTGGGTGCCCCGGGGGCAAGGGGGAACCTTTAGGAATCTGGTCCTGGGTCCTGTCAGGCCCACTCTGGGCGTGGCTCCTTCCTTCGGTTGCCACAGCACCCGAGTTCCAGTGATGCAGGGAGCATCTCCTGGATGTTTGCAGCGCACACAACCCACCTGGCCCCAGGCCCTTCCACGGCACGTGACAGGCAGGGTGACTCATCGCAGCTCCTGACCCTCTCCTTCTCCAGGGCACACATTTCCCGAGAAGGTGCCCTGCCGCCTCCCTCTCGCTCTCCTGGAAGGCGTCCTCTGGATGCATCATTTTTATTTTTCCACTTAAATAAAGGAAGCAGGAATTGGGCTCCTAGGCGGCCATTTCAGGAGCCAGGTGTTAAGGCCCAAGCTCGTCACAGAGTGTAGTTCTATTAGTGAGTCTCAAGTAGCACCAGCGTCTTCCCCCCCGGCAGTGATACTGCTCTCAACTTTAAAAACCCGTAAGGGTAATCACCCAAGCATTTTCGGTGAGGTTTTTAAAGGAACACAGCCGGAAACTATGAAACCTTCAAACGGATGTGAGCAGCAGCGAAGGGGCGGGAAGTAGAAGGGAGCGAGGAGAAAGCGGCGTGCGGAGCGCGTCCCGCTGCCCGGGCCCAGTCTCCCAAGGAGAAGAATCAACGCCAACGCCGTCCTGTCCCACAGTCCCACAGCGTGCTTGCGGCCTCCTGAGTTGGGCTCCCCGCTCAGGACTCACAGGCCTCTCGGGCCTCGAACTACGCCAGGTTCCTGGCTGTACATTAGCGTGAGCACCGCCACGTGGCGAGCAGCCTGCCAGCTGCCAGCTGGTGCTGTCTGTGGTGACCGTGGTTGGGACCGGGGTCTGCTGCGGCTGCCCGCTCCTCCCTTTCCTTATGTGTCCACAGTTACTTCCCGAGTGAGCGCTCCTGATGACATGGACACGGTAAGAAAGCAGAGCTGCAGGCATGAGAGGCAATAACCTCAGAGGCCCTGGGACACCTCCGCTTGGTACAGAGCCGGCTGCGGGAGATGCAGTCCCCGCGGTGCCGACCCAGCCAGGCGCTCGGACTCAGGACTGGCACAGACTTGGCTCAGTCGGGGTTGGCCTGGGAAGCCACTGCTGACGCTCGTGGGTCACAGCTACAGCCACGTGGCCCCAGAGTGAGAGGCCAGGACCCAGCCTTCCGGGCCGTGGATTCCTGCCCGAGCCCAGGGCCCCCAGCCTGTCACTCGAGTCCCGCCCAGGAGCAAGCCGTGCCCCTTTCTGAAAGCAGGTCCGGGCCTGTCCTGGGTAGAAGTGCGCATGCTGGGTGTCCAGGCCGGGGCTCAAGATGTCCCCTCTTGCGGTCTGCCCAGACAGTGGCCTTCAGGACTCAGCCTCAGGCGAATGGTGACAGTAACTGTCCCACTGCAGCACTTAAACTTCACACCTACAACAACTGTTTCTCCTTCCTCCTTTGCATATTACTCATCAAGTTTCATTTAAGCAGAAATTAGATTTCTACCTACACTTGCTTCAAAATAAAGCTTTCTTTGTTTCTAGATTTTATGATTTGGATCAAAAATATCCTGCAAGAGGCTCATGTGTTCACAGGTGGGGATTCTGGAGGATGACTAGATCCTGTGCTCTGAACTTCACCAATAGATGAATCCGTGGGTGGCTTCATAGCTGAATGTGTCAGGAGGTGGTGCCTGGTTGGAGGAAATAGGTCACGGGGACATGCCCTGGAAGGGCATATTCTGTCCCTGGACCCCTGTTCTCCCTCCAGCTCTCCACTCACTCTCTGGTTCTGGTTGCTGTGAGGTACGTAGCTCTCCTCTCCCAAGCCCTTCCACCATGATGTCTCTGGTTGGAGCTGGCCAACCACCATGGACTGAACCCTCTGAAACATTGAGCCAAAATAATCCTTCCCTCCTTTTGGTGTTTTTATGAGATATTTGGTCAATGATGAAAAGCTAACACTAAATTACAGTCAAAACTAACTTTCCACAAAGGAAGGTAGTGAAAAAGCTAAATGCAACTGAATGCTTTCAAAAGTCATTTATAATCAGCAAATGTTCATGATAGCTCTTATAAAAGATTTTAAAGTAGATGATTCCTCCATGTAGCGTAGGCATTCCATGTATCATTGTATTTATATTATTAATTTGCATGATTGGAAAGATGTAAAATCCTGGGTGTGTTCTAAATTAGCTGAATTTTAAATGAAGAATGTTCACAAAATAAACATTAAATATTTAAATCAAAGAAGAAATAGGCTCTGTTTACATTTCATTGGTGATTATTTTAATGTTTTGATTTGTTCCAATTCAGTCATTTTAAAAATACAGATTCAGTTTTGTTTAAAATAGATTTCACTGTGTGTTGGGTGAAATAATTAAATAAGGTTATGATTTATTTGAGTATTTGAATTTGCTTTCATGTTCAATGAGTTAAATTCCCTCCAGCTATTTTTGGGTTGGATTGGGTTTGATGTCACATAGTTTGTACAGTGATCATCCAGAAAAGATTCACTTTGCATTTGAGAATATTCTTCAATCCGTGTTACATTTGGAATTCATAACCTCAGTCCCACACACACTCACGTGCCCTGTGTGACACTCACAGCCCTCCATGTGCCTGAGTCTTGATCCTCCTTACAGGATGATAGAACCTTTCCAAGATATCTCAACAAGTTCATAACCACATTCCCAGGAATAACAGGCTTCCTCCGCCCCCGAAGGTTTGCTGTTGGCCTCTCCCGCCCCGCCCCCCCCCCAGGGTGTGCTCCCAGGTGGGACTGGTCCCCAGGGGCCCCGTCCACATCCTCCTGTGGCACAGGAGGCCTCTGCTCTCCAGTTGCACACTTACCTCCAGTCGCTCGCTTCTTCCTCTCACTAAACTGTACTTCCAAATACTTTATGAAGCAACTGGATAGGTCATTGAGTGGTGTCCTGGCGTGTCCAAAGGCTTCTAAGATGCACATGACCTGCAGCAGAAGAGAGAATTCCTACTAAACCACCCATTTTAAACAAAATGGGAGTAGTAACAAAGATGTAGAATTCTCCATTATCTACGAGTGTATATTCATATTCTCTCTCTCCCTCTCTCTCTCTCTCTCTCTCTCCCCCCCCCCCCCCATCGTTACCCCCTGCCTTTTAAAAACTTTATTTTGACACAGGGTCTCAAAAAGTTGCCAAGTTGCCCAGACTGGTCTCTAACCTGTAATCTTCCTATCTCAGCCTACCAGAGAGCCAGATTACAGTACAAGCATGCACCACCATGACTGACTAACTTTTAATACCATGTGGGATTCTTAACATAGCTCTGTCCAAATGTAAACTCTTAGTACTGTATACAGCGTCTCCAAGTGTAGCCACTTTTAATAAAGTGACGTGCAGGTTCTGCACTACATCTTCACTCCACCTAAGTGAAGGAAATCTACACACACACATGCATGCACACACCCACATGCATGCACACACGTACACACATGATACATTCTCTCCCCAGAGGCAGGAAGCACAGGCTTGGGCCAGGCTGCTGTGTGAGATGTCCTTGCTGCCCTGAGCCTGCATTCTTAGGTGGCAAAGCTTACGGCTTCGAAAGGCTAAGAATAAAGGTCTTCAGATCAACCCTCATTTCTGAAATTCCTTTTGGACATTGGTCATGAAATAGAAGCCATTTCTTCTATGCCAATTTATTGATAGTGATGGTAACCAAAGAATTCTCCAAAGAGTTTGAAAATCTAGAAGGGTCCATAGTGGTTCCTCTTTGCAGGGTTACAGGTTAACTGAAGTTTCTATGTCAGCCACAAGAGGGAGCACCATCTCACCTTTTGAAGACCCTGGGTTGTGCTATTCCCTGTAATTTTTGAGAAATTTATTACATATTTTTAAAGTGTGCTTTGACTGTACTTCTTAATTTTTTGACATCTGCTATCCTAAGCAATTTATTTCTCCTGGAAGTATTCTATATTATAAAAGGTTATACAACAACATTGATGCTAATCAGAAGTCAGAATCGCTAAAGGTTCTGAGAAGTATGAAGCAGGTAAACTGTCTAAGAAGTTTGTGTTTCTGGACATAAGCACACATCAAGTCTTTATGAACCCTATGATTTGGGCAGGCCTGTAGTGATTTTAAAGGTGATCAACTGTAAATTGATAGCAGTGATGACAGAAATGTTTTCGCAAGAAAACCTGAGTCAGTACTTTTTAGACTTATTTGCGCTCCTTTTACAAAAGTCAAATACACAATGGAATTCCTACTGCAATTATATGACACTATACAGTGTATGGTGTCAAATGTTGTTTAAAAGTCTTGATGTAGGGTGAATCTGGAAGCACCTTTTGACTCCGAGTTGCCCTGGTAATGTGCCCAGCAGGAAAGGGAGGTCTTCACCACCCTCTGAGAAGAGCTCGGAGGTAGTTAATGGCCCTGCCCAGGCGGGAGCACAGGGAGAGCCACTGCACGGGCTTTGGGGGAGCGGTCGCCTTCTCCCTGCCCCAGCCAAGCCCAAGAGCAATCCTAGGACGTCCAACGTGGGTTCCTCAAACTCCACACCATGTCTGGGTCTCGCTTTATTCTAACGCAGGGCGCTCAGCTCTGCATCTGGCAGAGTGAACATCTGATGGGCAACAACACCTCATTTCACGTTGGTTAATAATGACAAACAGGACGTCTCTGTGAGCGCTGCGTGCCTGGGAACATTTAGATGTATGCACAGGCGAGCACACGAGCGTGCACGCGTGTGTGTGTGTGTGTGTGTGAGAGAGAGATTTCTTTCAATCCTCACACCAGGGTCTCCCTTTCACAAACCAGCAAGTGGATTAAATGACCTTCCCGAGACTCAGCTTCCCAACGCTGAATTCTGGGCTTCTGTGTAGAATCACAGAGCCATCTAGGTGGCCTGCAGCTGCTCCCGCTGCAGTAACAACAAGGACATTCGAGTGTGACACTAACACAAAGCAAAATGCAGCATCCTTGTGGCTTTCTTTCATGGCACCCCGCTCTTCCAGAATTAGAGATTAACACCCTAAGCTCTGCAATGGCCAGAATGGTTTCACTTCACTACCAGCCAACAGGCAGGAGGCCAGCACCAGGCCAACAGGTGGCACTAAGTAAAGGTATTAGGAGAAACACTAGGAAACACGAAACTGGCAGCATTCAACTGCTGGCCTTGACTCCGAATCAAAATGATGAGAATGTCGCATAGCAATAAAATTTAAATAAAAATATAAGTGAAGAGAAGTAGATATATACATCCTCAAAATTAAATGATTCAAATTTTATTGGCATGATTTTTTCCATTCATACTGCATGGCATACGTCTCAATAGTTACATGCCATCACAGTTGTAGTGATCTGTTACGTTTTTTGTTTACTTGTTTTTGAGGCAGGGTCTCTATATGTAGTTCAGGCTGGCCTTGAATTCACGGTGTAGTTCAGGCTGCTGGCCTCAAACCTGTGGCAATCCTCCTGCCTCAGCCTCCCAAGTGGTGGGATTACAGGCACGCCCCACCACACCCGGGTGTTCTGTTTTCTAAAAGTGAAGACCTGTGGCTCCTTTGTAAAAGCTAATTCCCTGTCTATCAAGTTGATCAAAACATTCTGGTCTGTGAAAGCTACTGCTCAATAAATGCTAGTTTCATGCTGTGAATGGAATTGAATGCTACTTTTTGCAGTTGAAACCCATCGGGCCAGAATCGGCTGGAAGTCCAAGTCAGCTTCTTCCCAAAACTTGGCTTCGCTGTTCTAGCAATTCTAACACCATGGGCAGTTCCTGCTCCCAAGCCTTGGGATGGAAACTCAGGGGCAGGGCAAGGCCGGCCCAGCATGGCCTCAGCTGTCCCGAGGCTGCACAGGACCTGCCACAGGCCTTGGTGGGTCCACCTCCCTCCGGGCACAAGTGGAGATGAACCCACCTCCCCGAGGAAGGCGTCCCAGCCCCATGAGCCAGGCCTGGCTGGACCACTGCCCGGGGGTCAGGTTCATAACTGGAATAGCTGCCCCAACCCTCCTTCCTGGGAGCCTGATGACCACTGCTTTCAAATTAGCTGGAGCTGGAACTACACAAGCCTGGCTGCTGCGGGCACTGTCTCTGGCCCTCCCTCAATCAGCCTTTCTTTCCTGCAGGTGCACCGTCCATCTCCTAAATGCTTCTGGGCTCCCACTCTTTCATCGCCATCTACGTTCCTATATCTGTGCAACACCCACAGTCAATTCCTGCAGACACAGGCAGATGCTCTGCACAACTGTGGCTGAGTAATTTTCATGAACTTCTTAGACACTGAATGAGAGTCATGTGATGGCAGTGTAAAAGGAAACTGAAAAACAAAACGAAACAGTGACAGCGAGTTTAAGCCATGTTCAAACCTGAACAGTACTTTGTCATGAGATTAGAGATAATTTATAATATCTCATGTCTCATGTAAAATGAATAAAACAAATGAATAATTTTACTTGAAATTGTACTGCTATCATAGTTTTGACTCCCAGATTGCTGTTTGGGAGAAGTTATATCTTCATGTCCGAAGGAAGGCAACTTAGAACACATTCACAAACGAAAATGCAAAGCCAATTTACAGGAAGTCAGGCAGAATGCATTCTCAGAATGTACAGCTTGCTGTCTTAAATGATCATTTTAATAAGTGATTGCTTTAGTTTGTAATTCACAGTTACAGTTTCCTCCTTGTTGTTTCAATTAAGTCAACAGATTCTGTTATTTCCATTAGTGAACCTGCTTTATTTTCTAACCATGTTTAATTCATGCTCTAACCTTATGTATTGGCAGTCAGAACATTAACACATATGAACAAAGACGACAGGTGATACTGTTCTTTCCACACTGACTCCCGATGATGTTACATTATTTTGAGCTGTGCTATAGAATGCTGCAATGTTCCTGAGAGTAGGAGCCTAATATATGGTCACAAATTGCAGTCATTTATGCATATGTATGATACTGCACGTGATGCTGCAGAACTGATTTCATAATCGTTCTTTATTCTGAGAAAAATCTCCAGACTCCAGTAGAAGCATAGGAATCCATTAGAGAGATGTAATGTTTAAGAATTTGTAAGTAGAATCCAAAGTGTAAGGAGAAAAAGAGACAACATGGAAGTGAAGGGAGAATGTTCAAAAGGAGGAAAGGAATCAGGAGAGGAAGAGGTAAGGAGGGTGGAAATGACCAAAGAGCACTACACGCATGCACCAGTAATGTCACCATGAAAGCTGGTATCATGCACAACTGACGTGAACTAACAAACAAATACTAATCCATTGATGAAACAGAAGTTCCTCAATTTGTGAATGCAGCATCCGATATGATAAACTCCTAGAATATTCCCAGGCTAACATGATTGTATCAGAGTCTGATTACATCGGGGAGTCAGCTCTGCCTCTCCGAGCCTGTGGACAGGGCGGGTGACCAGAAAACAAACAAAAGCACATTATACTCATGGCACCAGTGTCTAGACTTTTAAGTTGTGCCCTTTCGGATGGGCCTGGCTGTTTTGGGAATGACCTAAAGCAACAGCAGCTGTTTTATCCACGCTACCCACACACTTTTAAGTAAGGAAGCTCTGGATCAAACGCAGGTGTCTCTCCTTTTGAAGTTGCTATCGGTCTGTCTGTGCAGTCAGGAGGCTTACATTCCTTGTGGGGAGCTGGTGCATGGACATCACACAGCCTAATTCTTTTTGTGTCCCTTTCCCCTGCCCTCCCTGCCCTCTCTCCTCTCTCCTCTCTTGATCCCCTTTCCATTTGCTAAAGATCCATCTCCCTGTGTCCTAGTAACTCTTATTTTGCTTTGTTTACACATCGGGTCACGAGATACTTCAGCTGGCTTGTCTGACTGACTCCACTCATGCTGGCCTGCAGGTGCACGACAGCAGGTGTCTCTCTGCAGCCTGTGCTCGGGGTGGGGGACACAGGAACTGGCCACTGCACCCCCTCACTGGGAAGTTGGGGACTCACCGCTGCAATGTTTGCAACGCACTGTGGCTTAGTTGTTGTGTTTGTTCATTTGTGGAAGGAAAGGATGAAGCACGCACGTACATCATTTCCTTGACTGACATCCCAAGCAGGCAGATCAGTCTTTTCCAGGAGGAACTGAACGTGATTTCTGAGCACAACTGAACAGATTCCTGACACTCACATTTAATAGCCTTTGCCCTGAGAGACTGTAATTTTTAACAAGTATTTCTTTGCTATGCTTGAACCAAAATACAGAGAGTAGTTATGAAAAACGGAAGAATGGAAGAAAGTTCCCTCTCTTGATAAAAGCAGGTGAGTAGGGTCCATGCAAGAGAACGCAGGGCTCTGGGACTCACACAGCACACACAGGAACTGATCAGTGGTAATCCGCATTAAACTGACTTGCTAATCGCAGGCTTCGTTAACGAAGGCCATTTAGGTAGTCGGAAGAACCCTAGGTGCGCCGAACTGTCCTGAAACCTTTCAGTCTTATGGTCACTCACGCAGCAGGCTAGGCAGCATCACGGTGGCAGGTGTAGCACGTCCTAGGCACAGCGGGGCGAGAGGACCGAGACTGAGAGAGCACAGCGCAGGTCCCCACTGGGTCCAGCGTGGGGAGGAGGACAGGGAGCGCTGGTTACAGGGGCACTGTCGCTTGCCTGTGCTGACCCTGGGGACTGTGCTTGCGCCTGCAGATTGCAGATGGTGCGGGTGCAGGAGGGAAGCGGTTACCTAGGTGCAGAGCCGCGGCCCACGATGCATCTCTGGTCTCCGCAGGGCGTCGCCTGGGCTGCGTGCAGGGCTGACTTTCCATGGCCCAAGTGTGCCCTGAGTGTGCCCACCTCTGTGCCGTGCCCTGAGTGTGACCACCGAGTGTGCCCTGAGTGTGCCCACCTCTGTGCCATGCCCTGAGCAGACACAGGCATCCCTTGTCTGTCCCTCCCTTCCTCGGGGCCCCGTCCTTGCCCACCAGGTCTGACAAAAGAGGACCTGATGTCCACCAGGGGCCCGAGCAGCATGTGAGGAACACCGCGCCTGAGTGGGGTGAGGGGGCCCCCAGGTCCCTGGCATGGACATGACCAGAATCAGCTGTGCCAGGCCGAGCCAGGCCTGCACACCCCGCGAGGGGCAGAGGGCCAGGCTGGGAGCCACGGTCCCCGTGTCACTGCATCGAGGGCCACGCGGGGAGCAGCGGGTCTGTTCACAGCCCTGCACCCAACCTGGGCCTGGAGAGCTGCTTTGGGGAGACACTAAGCCGGCAGGTCAGGCTGCAGCCAGGCCACCAGAGTGGCAGAGGAGCCTGGGTCACTTCCGGGATGGCCCAGGGCCGGGCACCTCCCGTGTCCTCCCCGAGGGTCCCCAGTGCAAAGCAGGACCTGCCCGCCCACCCTACTTCTTCTCCGGCCCGGTCCAGCCCAGGAAGCCGGAACACAGCTTGGCGGGGCCTGTGAGGAGGAGGCCGCCCGAGCTGCCGCTTCCTCTCTTCTGGCCCCGCTGCACCAGAGGAGAAGGCCCCAGGCCCGCAGTGTCTCTGAGTAGGAGGCGGCAGGTGCTCCTGACCTCTCAGAACTGGCTTGGGCCAGGTCCCCGCAGCCTGTCACTGCCTCCCCTTTTGTGGCTGTCAGAGCCACCAGACGTTTTGAAACTTTAAGATAGGCTCTGAAGAATCCCCCCCTGACGGCCTTGGGGCTGGTCTCGCCAGAGTGGCAAAGCGGCACGTTCTAGAGCCATGACCCTGACTGCCAACCAATGCAGTTCCGGGTCCAGGGTACCGGAGCAAAGGTCAAAAAGAGTATGCTCGAGGTATTTTTAAATAAATTGCACCAGGGCTTGGTCTTGTGTGTTTTCCCCACAGTTTTTGAACACCTTTACCCATGATGCCCCCTTCTATTTGTAAGTGACACTTTTCTTGGCCTAACATGCACGCATGCACACACGCACACACCTGCCAACCTGCCGAGCGACTCACGTGTCTGAGCCTGGAGTTCAGCAGGGCCCCACCGGAGACAGCGCGGCGGCTCAGGTGTCTCATGATCTGCTTGCAGGCCTCCGACTTCCCTGATCCTCTCTCCCCACTGGAGGAAAGAAGGAAGAGGTGAGCTCACTGCTCTGGAGAAGGCAGTGAAGGAGATGAAGGAAGCCGAGGCGATTCTCAGCTTCCAACATGGAGTTGGCAAGGGGGAGCTCAGCGACATTTAGGGAGTCCATGATTCAGTCTCACTGTCATCAAGGCATTCATCAATGTTAGGAAGCACATGCCGCGTCCTGGGCACAGGTGCGTGAGATGGGACAGCAGGCCAGACTGAGGTGGCTTCTGGCGTTCAGGGTCCTAGAGCTCAGGGGGTGACCTGTCCTCAGCACCCCAAGGCACAAATGACAGCTGGGCATCCCCGGGGACCAGCTGAGAGTGGACAGCGGGTGTGGCCACCCCAGAGCCCCCTGGCATCGGCTCGAGGAATGCGTGATGTCCCCCAGAGCCTTCCGGGAAGGACTCTCATGTTCCTCGGCAAAGTTACCCCGTCTTCCTAGCACCCCTTCTTTTGGAGAGAGAAACTCCTCATACCTCCTCGCTGCTCAGGGCAGACCCTATGTGGACCTTCCCAGGCTTGGGGTTCTCTGGTTTGCACCTCCGTAATCTGGGAGCCCATCACAAACTCACCTCTCAATGTCCAGTGATGACACTCAGACACCTCCCTGGCACACTTCCTTAGTTTATCCAGTTTTGACAAACAACACTTGAGCTCTGTTCCTGCACAGGCAATGTCAAATTATCCTAATATTCCTGTGCAATAATTACCAAAGTGATGCGATACACAATACAATTATTTGTGCTTTCAGATGGAAAATTCATTTTCAGTCTTTAGCTGGTAGCAAATAATCTTATTTTTTGAAGTTCTTTTACTGGTACTTTCTTAGGTTCTTGTATTGGAACATTTATTCTAATGAAGCTGATTAGAGGGCATGAATTTTCCTGGAATGAAATAATTATTTAAGTCTCAACTTGCTAATGAATGCATTTTCCCTCCTCATCTGTGCTGACCTTAACATTTTAACCATCAGCACCTAAAATTATCTACAAAATAAGATGTTAAAAGTAAAATCTGAAAAGAAAGTTAAACATTTTTTTTGGTGCTGGAACATCTGTTTTTGGGACATCCAACACTTTTGTTCCTCAAATCTTAAATTGCCCTTTGTAAGGGAACTTCTGGGACACGAGAGAAGCCCCACAAACGGTGTCAGGGAATCACGCATGACTAACATACTGGCAGAAACGAAGAGAGCCTTTGGTTTAGCTGGGACATGGATGGGGTCAAAGCCACACGAAAGTGCAGTTTTGAAAGGAGGCAGAGAGTGGCCTCGGACCTCGGACCCCTCACCTCGCTTGGCCTCAGGGTTCACATGCAAGGAATGTACAAGGGAACAGAAATAAGTGCTGATGTGAATCAGTCTGTTTCCATCCAGGCTCTGTCTTCATGTCCCACGAACTTGAGCTATGAGCCACTTTCTGTCCATGCTCTGTCTCCAGCCACCACCACTAAAAATGAGGCGAAAACACGAGGATCTGTAGACCTCTCTCTCTGGGAGATGTTTGGCCTAACACAGAAGACAATTCCCTGATGCAGATCTTATTTTAGTACTTAAATATTTCTTCACTCCTCTCCTTATGAGGCTGGAACCTCTTCTCATGTTAACCCTCTGCCATTTTGGAAGAGATTTTGCTCCCATGTGAATCAATAAAGTTAAAATCACGATTACGTTTCAGGTAAAAGCCACTCGCAGGAGTCTGATAGGAAAATACTCTTTTGCAGAGAACCCCAGTTGCCTCCGTCTGCACAATGAGGGGCTCAGGCCTGCCAGTCTGGGGAGCCTCTCTTTCTCCAGGGTTCTTAGGTTGGA